AAGTTACATGATGATCTGATCAGATAATTTGTAGACACGTAACCTAAAGTTACGAGATGGATTGATCAAAGAATGTGTATATAACACGTAATCTGAAATTACGGGATTTTGATCAAAGAATGTTTATATAACACGAAATCTGAAGTTATGGATGAATTGATCAAAGAATGTGTATAGGACATGTGACCTGAAGTTACCAGATGGTTTGATTAAATAATGTGTATATGACACATAACTTGAAGTTTACCAGATGGTTATGAAAGAATGAAAATAAGTGACATATGAAAGTGATAAAGCTATTAATATACTCAGCCGATATGAATGAAATCTTGAAAGAAAAATGTGCATATTACAAGTGATATGCGTTCAAAGTCCTCCTATTACATGTCGTAGTCGAGAATGGAATGAAAACTATACGAACTCCCCGCAAGAAATTCAATGTTGATCAGATATATGAGTAAGGTTTTACGAAGACTTGTTAAGATGAGGAGGAGAATCAAGATTGAAACTTGTAAATGATATGTGCATCACACTGAAACTATGCAAATCATAAACTCAATGATACCGATGATCGTGAATTTTATTAAATGATATGATGGTAAATGATACGCTGGAAGCATTGGTATTGTGTAAATGGAAATTTCCAAAGAAGTGATGAAAGGAGGCATATACTATTGATGAAGAGTATGTGGACACGACAATTACATACAAGCAATTGATAATGAGATATCTCAATATATTACGAGAAGTAATGAAAATGAATAGGTGTGGACACAAACAAATGAGTACCGCTATAAGAGATACCGACGAGTTTAAAATCAACTAAAAAAAGTGAATATTGAGACTATTGGAAATAAGACCACTGAAATCAATTGATGACGAGAATGAGTAGTAAAAAGCATGATATGGTATATTATTATGAATACCATCAGTATCTGAAAATCTGATGGAATAAATCTATATGATACTCGTACAAATTATGGAAAGATAATTATATGGAATACGCGTTGTACTCTTTTTTCCTTGGCTGAGGTTTTATCACACTGGGTTTTCCGAACAAGGTTTTTAATGAGGCAACAGAGATGGCGTATTCACATTAAAAGTATACTCTTTTTCCTTCATTAGAATTTTGTCCCACTAGGTTTTTCCTAATAAGGTTTTAACGAGGCACATTAATGGTATAATGAGGACCAGGCGATAAAATAATATGATTCCTCATGATGATATGAAGAAACTAGAGTACTTGTACTCTTTTTTCTTCGATCAAGTTTTTCTCACTGGGTTTTCTTGACAAGGTTTTACCGAGAGAGCATATAGATATCAACTAAAGATGATATGTTTGAGGGGAATGTTATGCTTCCACAATGCTCAGGTTTTGTCCCCACCGGGGTTTTCCTGATATGCTGAAGCAAAGCGGTTTTCTGGTGGCCACAAATTACACTTCAAGATGTTTGGCTTGAGTTTTGTTTCATTATGTTTAAGAAATAGTCATTCAATGGGGAGTGTTATGAAATATGAACCACACAAATGGATTAATATCTATATATATAAATGACTATTTTGCCCCGATATAATTGTATTATTACGATAATGTCATTATAAGTTTTCCTGTAAATAGGATCTTTAGTTATAATGAAAATTATACCAATAGAATACATTTCCTTTATTCTCTCTTTGCTTCTAATTTTACAACAGTTCATTGTTTTTACCTTCCAAAAATTTTAAATTGTTGAAAACAGAGATAAAATCAAAGGGTAATTTACGTAGCTACGATTGCTCTAAAGAAAATCTTCATATATACGATATAGCTACAGTTTTATTAATTGAAACTTTAAGGATATAAAATTATCAATAATACGGGATTTTAAACTGATCCCAAGTATCACGCCAGTTTACTTCTGCTCCGTAAAAGACGCAAATATAAAGCCTCTTGTTTCTCTCTCTCTCTCTCTCTGAAGAAAACATCCTCTCGTCTCCCTCCCTTGTCAATCTCTCATGGCTTTTTTTTCCTCAAAATCACTTCGAACAATCCTGGAGCAGTTGTCCTCACAGCCCCAACATTCCAAACCTTACAAGTATATAAAAAAGGTGAGATATTGTAACAAAAATATTCTTTATTTTCTTCTTTATTTTGGGGTTTTGGATTTTCTTCAATTTTTATGATTCCTGTTTTAATTGATTTTATCATCTTATTTCATAATCTTATGTATTTCACTTTTGCAGTGATATTGTATAGCAATAACACGGAGGATCCGTTTTTACGAGGAGTTGCCTACTTCAACAAGAATCTTCTTGATCTCCATCCACCTTATTTTTTTTTGTTAACTAATTTCATGGATTTCTTGTAAATTTGTCTTTACTCTTTTGTGCCCGATGAATTTCTCTATTTTCTGTTCAAGGGTCGACACATGAAGAGAACGAGCCGGATGAATTTCTCTATTTTATGCACACGAGGACAGAAACGACAAAATATACTAAAGATAAACATGAGATAAACAATTAATAAGAGTTGTATTATTGTGGTGGATGGGCACTTTAATTTCGATAGATGACATAAAGAACAAAATATACTAAAGATAAACTTGAGATAAACAATTAATAAGGGTTGTATTATTGTGGTGGATGAGCACTTTAATTTCGATAGATGACAAGAAACAACAAAATATACGAAAGATAAACTTGAGATAAACAATTAATAAGGCTTGTATTATTGTGGTGGATGAGTACTTTAATTTCGATAGATACAGAAGCAACAAAATATATTAAAGATAAACTTGAGATAAACCATAATAAGGTGTATTATTTTGGTGGATGAGCACTTTAATTTCGATAGATGACAGAATCAACCAAATATACTAAAGATAAACTTGAGATAAACCATAACAAGGGTTGTATTATTGTGATGGATGGACACTTTAATTTCGATATTGGGGTTGGTCAATTCCCAAACAAATGTGCTCAGAAATTTCAAGATTTTGTCATATAATGAGTTTTTGTATGAACATGTATATAAATTTTCTTAAAATATACATTCGCTAGAATTTCTAGTATTAAAAAATCTATGCATGTATACATGAAGAGTTGATTGCTAGATATAGATGTTTGTGCACATATTAAATTATGTGGTGACGGGTGACATGACATTTAATTAGCGAAAAATGTAGTCCGCGTAAGTATATACAGAAAATATACTTTAGTTAAACTCGTAATTTATCTATATTGATAAATATATACACAAAATATACTTTAGTTAAACTTGCATTAGTGAAAAGTGTAGTACACGTAAATATATACACAAAATATACTTTAGTTAAACTCGTTATTTACCTATATTGATACATTATCAACATGTAATCCTTTAGTTAAACTCGTATTAGCGAAAAAATGTAAATATATACACAAAATATACGTTAGTTAAACTCGTATTAGCGAAAAAATGTAAATCTATACACAAAGTATTAGCGAAAAAATGTAAATTTATACACAAAATATACGTTAGTTAAACTCGTAATTTACCTATGTATAAACTTTAGTTAAACTCGTAATTTATAGGTTATCAATATGTATATATGTACATCTCGTTATAAACGTACGATTAATATACATTTGTTTCAGTATACATATAATTATATCATTGGAGTTATTTTTTTTATGATTTAACAAAAAATAGAAAAATACTTTAGCAGAATAGTGTTTTTAATTTAAAAATGTATCAGTAAATTATATTTTTTTTCGTTAAAATACTTATCTACATTATGCCCATTTTTCCGCACACTTGTTGCGGCTATTTTTGGTGTGAGCCTCCACCATGGTTTGATTCGTTCTCTCCGTATCGCAATCGCGACCATTGCTCGAGCTGATTGATGGATTGATTGATTTGAATTTCGATTTTGAATTCAAACTGAGACATGAAACCCTAGCAAGTGAAGTGGGGAGCTGGTCCGCTGAGAGCCGTCGGAAATTGTCGATTTTGCTGACTAAAAAATTGTGCGGGTCTGCCGATCTCTGATCGTTGGCGCTCACCGGAATCAGGCTGTGCCGATCAGAGTTGCAACTTCGCCTCACCGTCGATTTGCTGATCACAGTACACCGGTTGACGAGTTTTTAGGTGTGAGATTTAGAAAATTAACTAGGTTATACGGATATTAGGTGCGAGTGTCAAACGAGAAAGAGGATAAACAAAAATAAAGGAGAAANAGGTTATATATCCTCTGTACCTAAGCAGTGGCAACCATAAGTTGGAAACTCAAGACAGGCAGCCCTAATTATTTAATAGATGGATTTTATACAGAAGAAGCAGAAGAAGCAGAAGCAGAACAAAATTAGAGCGACAGTGAGTGAGGGAGAAATAGATGTGGAAAGAGAGTTGAGACAAAAATATTGCAATTGAATGGATAAAGTTGATTAAGATTTATACGATTTCCGTGAAATGGGCTAAATTAATATTACACGCAATTGACTTTCCTTTTCGTGTTTATTTTAGTTGGTTTCATGCTATTACAAATATCGTAGTTTTAAAAATAAAATTTCAATTTCATTAATGTGTAGGAAAATTTTATTTAGATCGTAAGGTCTGTAAATTTCTCAAAATCAAATGCGATTCCAAAACTCTCATTAATTCTTTCTAATCTTAAATACTAATCAAATTTGAACACTGGCTGCTTCATATCTGATTTTTTACATTATGACCACAAATATAAACGAATGTTTATCTTTATCTCTGTCTCTCTCGAGTGGAATTTTGCTTCAATAAGGTGATATTTTGACATACACGACATTTATAAGTTTGGATCAAACGAGTTGATAATCCAAGCAAGTTACAGATATATTTAACTTTAAAGACATATATGTAAGCAATAAAAACACAAAATATGTTGCCTACAAAACTTTTATCTACGATTATTTGTAGCAGAATATTATAATATATTTATTGATATTGTTAAATAATATTATATTATATATTTTATATTCTTATACAACATGCAAAATATGGATTGAAGGCCGTTCAACGCATTAGTAATCGTTAATTTTGCAGTTTCCGGTTTGAACTATTGCCAACAATACTCATTTCCCATTCAAATGGTGGGAGAAAAAGTTCCAACACATCACACAACAACAACAACATAGTTTCTACAAATACAAACGCCCAGCTCACAAAATGGAAAAAAAAAATAAAAATAAAAAAAAAAATAAAACAAAACAAAAAACAACCCAACAACAACAACAAAAGCCGTCACAAAGTCACAATCTGCTCGCTTTACTAAGGCTGCCCATACTCTTCGCCTTCTCCCTCAACGCAAACTTCTGGATCTTCCCCGTCGATGTCTTCGGCAAATCCTCGAAAACCACAGTTCTCGGCGCCATATAACGAGGCAACTTCTCCCGACAGTACTTCATAATATCCTCACCGCTCGCCACACAACCATCCTTCAACTTCACAAACGCGCAAACCGTCTCCCCCCAATGCTCGTCCGGCCGCCCCACAACCGCCGCCTCCAAAACCGCCGGGTGGCCGAAAATCACTGACTCCACCTCAATCGTGCTCACGTTCTCCCCACCCGAGATAACAATATCCTTCGACCGATCCTTCACCTCCAAATACCCATCCGAATGCTTCACCCCCAAATCCCCACTCCTAAACCACCCGCCCTTGAACGCTTCGCGAGTCGCCTCACCATCTTTATAATACCCGTTCATCACCGTATTCCCTCTAAACATAATCTCGCCCATCGTTTTCCCATCCGCCGGCACGGACTCCATCGAAACCGGATCCTTCACGTCGACCTCCTCTACGCCGAGATGGCCAAGGCCTTGTCGGGCCTTTATTCGGGCCCGTTCGTCGGGAGGCAAATTATCCCACTCGGGCTTCCACGCGCATACGGTCCCGGGCCCGTAAGTCTCGGTAAGCCCGTACGAGTGCGTCACGGCGAATCCGAGCTCTTCCATTCCAAACAGCACAGCTGGCGGCGGCGGCGCGCCGCCGGTGGCCACTGAGACTTTCCGTGGCAACGGCTTCCGGTCGCCGGGAGGCGCGTGGACGATCATGTTGAGGACGGTGGGGGCGCCGCCCATGTGCGTGACTCGGTTTTCGGCTATGGCGCAGAAGATTCCGGAAGGAGTCACGGTTCGGAGGCAAACGTTGGTGCCTCCCTGCGCGGCCACGGCCCACGCCTGGCACCAGCCGTTGCAGTGGAACATCGGGACCGTCCAGAGGTAGACGGGCATGGAGGGCATTTCGGTCATTAGGATGGCGGCGAGGGAGTTGAGGTGGGCCCCACGGTGGCTATAGACGACGCCTTTCGGGCTCGAGGTCGTTCCGGACGTGTAGTTGAGGGATATCGGGTCACACTCGTCGACCGGCTTCAGGACTGTGAAGTCGGGATGGCCGGTTGAGAGGAGAGTCTCGTATTCTTGATGAATATCAGTTCTGGATGGTGGGTTAGTGTGATCTGAGATTAAGATTAATGTGGGTAGGTTTTTTATGCCTTTATTGGACAGAAGGTTGAGTGCGCCCCTGGCTGTGTCGAGCAGCTGGTGATCGACAAAAAGGATTTTGGATTCGGAATGGTTGAGCAAAACGGAGATCATTGACGAGTCGTGACGTGTGTTGAGAGTGCAGAGAATGGCGCCGGCCATGGGGACGGCAAAGTGGAGCTCGTACATTGCTGGGACGTTTGGGGCCAAGGCTGCAACCTGGATAAAGTTAAGTAATTTATGCTGAGAAGAATGAAGTGAAGAAAAAAGTAAGACAATTTTTCCCAGAAATTGGAAATTATTTTCCTTTCCTTCTTTGTGCTAATAGTTGTAAGGCGATTTGTCTGCTACAGTGCTGCTATAAAATTGCTAAGCTATTTATGGGGAGAGGGTGATCTATGCAAAAGGACCATTAGCTTGATTGGTTTCAATGTGCGTGAAGAATCTATAAGGATACCCTTTACATCAGTGAAGTACAACTCAAGTTTCAGGCCTAAAAGAATGACACGTAGAGCAGGCAACCGGCTTTCGAAAGTTGACCAGAAATCATTTTTAAGAGCACACCCAAATTTTAATTATGATCGTATTGCAGCACCTGCACAAACTTTGAGGAACTGAATAGCGTACAGATACAGAAGACTCGGAACATGAAGTATTCATTTCTAACTAAGGTCAGAAACAAGTATTCATTTTCTAATATTTTTGTTTTACCTGGATATGTTGATTGCTGTGCTATTTGAGGGAGTTTTCACTTGCTCTGAAGAAAGAAAAATCAAAATTCATATTTTCTGGATAAAATTCTCTTATGGTTCTCGCAAGCACTCCCCTAAATAATCATCATGTGTTTTAGTACATTATACACCAGAATTAGTGTTATGTTTGTTGGAATATCACTTGTGAGTTGTCCCACATTGATTTGATAGGGTAAATGAGCGTAGTTTATAAGCCTAGTGGCTACTCCTCCCATCACCAATTAGTTTTGGGATGGAACCTCACTAAGGTGCAACTAGGATCACCCTCTTATGGTGCGCTTTACTATGTGGGACCACACCCCTGATGCTCCGATTATCCAAATTTGACAAGACCACTAATGTTCTTATTCTTATCCACCAAAGTGAGAGACCACTAATATTCGTATCCACCAAACTTTTTTATCCACCTTTCCAGGACCACCACCACATTGTCACTAGTCTCCAACATATAGTACTTATTAAAAGTAGACAAACTAAAAGAGAACAAAACAAATTGAAACAATAGAAAAACATAACTTTTGGTGCTATCATAGGTATTCTTATCAACATTGACTGCAAAGTGCAGAGTATCACGTTATATATTGAACTGACAAGTAGACGTGTAAACGAGTCGAGCTCCTAATACTCAACCTCAAGACTATAACGAGCTCGAGCATTAACGAGCCAAACCTAAGCCTTAACAAGCAGAATTGTAGGAAATCACATAAAAATCCCTATTTTCGAGCATTAACGAGCCGAGCCCATGAGCGCTTTGTTTAACACCACCACTCACAAGTTACAAGTCACAAACACATGCATTTTTTATCTCCAAAAAGCACTCATAAGAAAAAGTCTACAAATGCCATTAATGCCCACACATGATAATTCTTAATGCAAACATTTATTATGCCAAACATTCATTAGGTAAGGCGAAAGAAGTCATTGTCCGATTCAAATCAAGAAATGCTTTCACTTTAGTTAGAGGTTATTTGGTCCCAGTTCATTTATCACAATACAATTATGCCACCAATGACAAGTTTGACAAATAGGCAATCCATACTTATAGTCAAGCAACAGTTAATATGAAATAATACTTGAGAAATTCACAAAAGATATGGCCAAGAATACGACACTCCATACTTATAGTCAAGCAACAGTTCAAATTTGAATGAATCATGTAATTTGTGCAAAAAAATAATAATTTTCTAATGTACATAATTTCATCCAAATTCCAACTGTACTGGCACACATGAACTACTCGGATCATTCACTCCAACCAAATGCACAATCATGATTCAGAAAACCAAAACCAAAAGAAGAAGTGAAACAGATAGCACAGCCGGAACTTGAATCCAGAGAAAAAAAAAATGAAAAATAACGGAATCGGAAACACTCAGAGAGAGAGAGAGAGAGAATAAAGGAAAAATACAAAAAAACTCACAACGTCGCCGCGAGAAATTCCGAGGCGGCTGAGAGCGGAAGCGAGGCGGATGCACCTGATGTGCGTCTCCTTCCAAGTGAACTTGAGATCGCCATAGACGACCGAGAGCCGGTCTCTGTAAACGACCGCCGATCTCTCAAGGAAGCTTATTGGGGTCAGCGGGACATAGTTCGCTGAGCATTTCAAGGTCCCCTCAACCATTGTTGCTTGCTAATTCAGTTTTTTCGATTTTCAGGAAGAAAAAAAAAGTTACCGACAAATAGATGAAGTGTTATAAAAAAGGGGCAATCTCCAATCTCTCTTTTTAGACTATAGACCACTTATTATAAAAATAGGGACACGATATTACGTACGGGATGAGCGCATCTTAATTGATTAGTTTAATTATAATTTTAATAAAGTCTTAAAATTAATAAATTGGGGGACACTATTTTTACAGTGATTTTTTTTTTTAGCCATATACAAATGGCTAACACAAATTTTAGCCATATTTTGCGAAAAAACACTCTTTTTATCCATTTTGGCACCTGAAAAGTCAAAAATACCCTTACTACTTATTTTTTCAAAAAAAATAAAAAATAAAAACAGAAACAATTTTTGGGACCACAAATCGATTTCCAATCCCAGAAATTCCCATTTCTAGTTTCAGAAATCGATTTCCGGTTCCAGAAATCGATTTTCGATCCCAGAAATGGTTTCTTGTCCTAAAAATCAAAGAATGGATTTCTGGGACCAGAAATCGATTTATGGACCCCATAAATGCAAGAAATCTCATAAACAATTTATGTACCCTAGAAACGGTTTCTGGACCCCAGAAATCCCAAAAATGATTTTTGGAATTATTTTTAGATCCGATAATGATATCTGGTACAAGAAATCGATCCCAAAATTCGATTCTAATTCAAATTTTATTTGTTTTATTATATAAGTCATTGAATCATATATAAGACATTTTTTTGACATTGTTGTCACTAAAATACTTTTGTATCTTTTTTTATAGATGTCGTGTGAAAAGGTTGGAATTGTGCATAGTGGATTTTGGTATGAGAATATCTATAAAAATGGACAGGCAAAGATGAACTTTATGCGTTTAGGGAGTTTGTCGTATGAAGACTTTTTAAATAGAGTTCATGACATTATTTGTGGAGATAAACACACGTGTGAGTATCGATCTCACTTCTTGATGACCACGATACGTGTCTGTGTCTTCCTCTCACAGACCTTACAAAATCATATAAATATTTGTATCATATTTTTTTCCCCAAATTTTAATGATATATAAACCTCAACTCACAATATACAGATAATCGTCACCAGTGTCCGTGTAAGCAAACAATGTGACAAAATTGTAGATACATCGAAGCAGCGATCATTAAACAAGTCGAGCCAATCTCGACCTGATACTCGAGCTTCTGAGCTTGCCTCATTAACTACACGATATGATAAACAAGTTTAGTTTTTAACACGAAGGGGTAATAAGAAAGCAGAACTAAAACAAAACAAATGGCACAGGCACACACTATTGTACCATTTTCAATTTTTCTTAAAAAAAATTGATTATGTACATTAGTTTACGCAAAATTTTTCAAATTTTTACCAAAAATATTACTCAATATAACAAGTCTCGTTACATTTGATGGCAATTGGCATTCTATAACAGTTGTCAATATACGAATTTTCTTCTAATTTTATCATACATTGCTTGCACATTCAATATGACCCAAATTAAGCTCTCAAACGGGTCAAAGTTCGAACCGTCCCCAACATATCCAACTCAAAAGGAGTACTGACAGTTTTGATTTCTGAATCTCATCAAATCCAAAATTGAAAAAGAAAAAAAATGTTTCATTTTTCATACATAAAACTTGATTTTGATATACATAAAAGTGTGTTAACAGCAAGACTATATTTTGAATTGTCTATAACAACAAAATTTTCATGATAGATAACGTCGATGTGAATATACAACAAACTATCTGATTAAAATTCAAGAGTTCTACAACCACCATGGGTTGTCACTAGTTCTGAAATCTATTTTGACCGACGGGACAAACACGACCTTCCCATGATCAATATCAACATGAGCCAGCGCCAAAGACTGCATCGAGATATAAGACAATATAAGTGAATAATTAGCTGATAATATGATAACGACATAAGACATAAACCATCATAATATTTCGCCATCTCATAGGCAACATCACATAGGCGACATCACCGTCTTTTAGGTAGCATCATACTGCCTTTTTTATCGGCCTTAGCCCTTGCGGACAAAATATCTCATGTAACCTGCAGATACCATAATAATCGCAATAATTATAAAAAATAAAACATAGTATAGACTTCCCCACCCCACCTTTTGACTTACTGCACTTGAATGAAAGAAATGCATGTGCGTCTGCGTGAGGGCTTGACTTCTCTTAATGTACATTTTGATTATTAAGTCTTATTATTAGGGTTTTGATTAACAGACAACAAGTACGGAAAATAAAACAATTACGGGCACATAATGCAAACAAAGTTAAGCAGATAAAAGCACATAAATTAGGCAAATTGAACAAATAAAGCCATATAATTTCTATCTCTTTAGCTTGACTTTCCAGGCTCGGAAAAGTCTCATTTTCTTTCTCTTTTCTCTCCAATTTAACCAATAAAACAGGGCTTAAAAAACTGAGCACATACTTCAGCAAATAGGCACAAAATAAGCATATAACTCAGCATATAATTCGCATGTACAAGCCACAGCAAACAAGGCAAAACAATAGCTCATACACAACACATAAACATGCTTTCTTTTTTCTTCTTTTTCTCAAAACCTTCAAGCACACCCTTAGGGCCTCCAAACTGAAATAAACCTCTAAAATTAATGCACAATAACAGCTTGAAACACCCAAAAAGGCTATAGCAAGGAATCATAAAAACAAAGACCAAGCATAAACACAAGCATGCTTTAAAATTCCTTTTCTTTTTCTCATGCTCAAACCACAAGTCATAAGGCCTTAAAACTGAAATGTAACTTATGAAATTATACAGTTTCAGCAAGCTAACAGTCACCAAAAAGATCAGCAATTAACTCTCACAAAATGAAGCTAATCACACGGCTTAAAACTCATCACACAAACATCAATTTTCTATTTTTCTCCTAAAATTTCTAAGGCAACTTAAAGGCTATTAGAACTGAGATTTATCCTCAAATAGATACACATAATAACAACATATACACGCATAAAAGCTCAACCAAATAGTGCAACAATAGGATTCAAATCAACACACATTCAAGCCTCAAATTAACCCTTCTTTTTCCTTCTCTTTTTCGTTCAAAATCACAGGTACATTAAAGGTAATTAAGAACTGAACTTAAACTCTTTTAAAACCACAAAAACAGCAAATAAATCACATAAAATGCACAGCAACATATAAGGCAAAACAAGGTTCAAACACAACTTAAGCATGCTCTTCATTTCCCTTCTTTCTTAAACCTCAACCAACACGTACCAAAAACCTTATGAATTGAACGTACTTCTCTGAAAATTAATACATAGCAACTGCATGATAGCCATACCAACAGGCCACAGAAAGATTCAAGTATGCAACACATATTACGTATATAGTGTGATGGATTTATATGCTTAAGCTTATGAGCTTGACAGATAAGTATAAACAGTCCTTCAAAATAATATGGCTATCCCGATTCGTGGCGTTCACGAAACACAGTAAATATGCTGACAAGTGACAAGAGAGACAAATGGCATAAACAGATTACACATATAGATTTTACGAAATGCAATCGAGAAAACTGAAGAGTATGCTGCAAACTCCAATCATGTAGACAAAATTTTCAAACATGTACGATGTAACAACCTTTCTTTTAAAGTAACGCGTGACACCATAAGTGATAAATGCATTAAGATTCGATCTACGGGACAACACTTTAAATATTTGGGAAAAACATCAATTTTCATTTCTGAAACTTCACCACTGCTCCAAACACCCATCATCCCTTTGCCCCAAATCTAATATAAAAATTGGATATCTTTTAGACTCTAATTTTACATTAATCTAGTGGCTTGGCCTATACTCGTCCTTTCAACAGTCAAGCTAAAAGCTTCAAGCCCACTATCACAATCAACAAAAGCATTCGAGAAAATTGAAAGAGTATAGAGAATAAAGATAATTGAGCTGTAGCCGAATCTCATAATATGAACCAAAAAAGTTCATCAATCAGAGCAAAAAAGTAAACCGCAAAAAATGAATCGTAGGTGGATAACACGCAAAATAGTAGAAGAACACTGATGATATTTACTGGGAGGAACGTAGGGCCTGCAACTGGAGGCGGCGGTGGTGACACTTATGACAAACCAGGTGACCGGCGGCTGCTACTTGGAAACTCGCGAAGTTTCGGGGAAAGGCCGGATGTACGTGGACCGATTCCTCTCCACCGATAAATGCCTGAAGAAGAAAAAAATTGACAATCCCCAATTTGAACACATCACTTTAAGAGGTGAATGCTAAATCATGAAGAGACAACCTACAAATACAGTAAAATAAAAAATGCAGAGTCCGTAGCACCCCATTCGAATGAGATTGGAGTTGAAGTCGAGAAAATTATAATAAAAAAATCAGTGAAGAAAACCATAATCAATTCGACCCTAATCAAAAACCTAATTCGATACCTCCCCATTTCAACCAAAAACATCATTCTTTTACTGAAGAAAAAAGAATATGAAAAACCCTAATCAAGCCCTAAACAACTAAACAGCCGCACCTTGAGAAGCAATGAGAGGTTGAGGAAGCCGGCGGAGCAGAGCAGGTGCGTCGGAGCAGTGCGGCGGAGCAGTACAGGTGCGGCGGAGCAGTACAGGTGCGTCGGAGCAGTACAGGTGTGTCGGGTGCGGAGAGGAGCAACGATACGAGCAGCGCGGGTGAGTGAGTTGTGGGAGACAAGAGGAGCAGCGGTCGCCGGAGAGGAGAGAAAAATTGCACAGAGAGAACGTGAAAATAAGTTGTCGCCGGAGAGGAGAGGAGAGGAGAGGAGAGGAGAGAGAGCGTGAAAATGGGGGGAATGAAAAAATGAAATTTGGATTTTGGGGGTAAATGAAAATCTGATATGCCCGAAAAAAATTGAATTGAAAAATTGAAGTTAGGGGTAATTGAGTAAAAACACTAGCCAAAATGGCTAATAAAAGATGTTTTCTACAAAAGGTGGCTAAAATTTGTGTTTTAAAAACTTGTTTGGCTATTTAGTGGTATTAACACTATTTTTATCTTTGAAATTCTGGTATGAAATGGCTCAAGGGACCC